GGAGAACTGAGTTGTTTGTGGTAACTATGAGAACCAATATTAACTACAAATCAATAGATAAATTAGGAAATTTATAAATTTGGTAATTTTAAATTAAAATCTTAATGCAAGGATATTTTTGGTATTTTAAAACTCTCCTTTTTTCTCTCTCCGGCCACCGTTCTCCGGCCACCGTCCTCCGGTGATACCATTGTGATACCTAAAAATATTGACTCTGTTAAACAAAATATTGTTCATTTTTCATTTTTCATTTTGTACAAAAATATTGCAAACCACGTTATTTGTACAAACCTCATTCAACCGATTATAATTTTTCATTTTGTTCATATTTTTGTAATTATGAAAGGTTAATTAATCATTTTTATTGTGGAGGGTGTTAATCATGGATATTATCATTTTCATTATTTTAATTTTAAAGAAATACATGAAACAGTTTCATTAAAATTTCATTAAGTATTATATGAAACAATTTCAATACTATATATGAAACAACATCATCAAAAAAGTATAATATGAAATAATTTCACAAGATTAAACAAAAATAAAATCGACGGATGAGGGTGGTTTACACGGTTTGTTCAAATTGGATGGTTTGCATTTGATCGCTCCTATATATAGAGTTGGATGAGGGTGGTTTACACGGTTTATACAAATTGAATGGTTTGCATTTGATCGCTCATATATATATATATATATATAAACACACACACACACACTTATAATAAAATAAGTAACTTGGATGACACGTGTCATCTTCTGGTGAGGCGATTTTCTTGTTTTCCCGCCTAAACATGTATCTAGACACAATTTACATTAATGGTTCAATTAGACTCATTTGAACGTAACTATACACAATTTACATTAACAGTTCAATTAGACTCATTTGAACGTATCTGGACACAATTTACATTAACAGTTCAATTATACCCATTTGATTGATCACTACTAAAAAATGTGGTTTTTCCGATGACAAAATCTGTTGGAAATCCGTAGGAAAAACAACTATCCGATGGATATTGCCGTCGGAAAAACCCCCCTCGTTAAATGCAAATTCCGTCTGAAATCTGTCGGTAATGTTCAAAGAAATTTTATTTATATTTTTTTCTTCAAAAAATATAAAAAGAAGTTCAAAATTTCCGACGAATAATAATTTTTATAATAAAAAATTATATTCCGTCGGAATTTATTAAAAAAAGTTTTTTTATTTTTCTTATAAAACACATATTTTTTCAAATAAATTCCGACGGAATATAACTTTTTATTAGAAAATTACAATTCGTCTGATTTTTTTTAAATATATTTTTTTGAAAGAGAAAAGAATAAAAAAATTCTTACACATTTCTGCCGGAGTATAATTAAATATAAAAATCAATTAAAATACGTCGTAAATTTTAATTAATTAATGCTAATTAATTTATTTAAATAAATTAGATCAATTTTGTGACGGATTTCTGACGGATTTGTCATAGTATTAAATAAGTAAAAAAATCCGTTACAAATCCGTCTGGAAAGTTGTAAAAATAAAATTTTATTTTATTTTTAAATTCAGTGATGGATTTGTGGGAGATTTGTGGTAGACGTCGACAAAAGTTACTTTTCTTGATTACACAGAGCTCGAAGTCTGAAGAGTTTTACTTCAGAGTTATTTAAAGAGTACAAGTCCAAGTTCATTCTTCAGAATAATACTTAAGAGTTATTTCAAAAGTATAAGTCTGAAGAGTCGTTTCAAATTTACTGCTAAATTTAAATTCAACTTACTGATACAGTTTCATTTCTTAATTTAATTTTATTTTAGAGTTAATTTCATTTTAACTAATTATTGATATAGTTTCATTTCTAACTTCAAGTCTGAAGAGTCATTCTTCAAAGTTATTTTTCAGAATTATTTCAATAGTACAAGTCTGAAGTAACATCATACTTTCGATGATCATTCATATCTGTAAGATAAGGTCCTGACATGATTTAATTTTTTCAAATTACTCCGTGTAATACACGGGATCGAACTTAGTATATATATATATATATATATATATATATATATATATAGAGAGAGAGAGAGAGAGAGAGAGAGAGGAGTGTTCAAATGAAAATTGTACAAACCACCCTCATACGTCGATTTCATTGTTTAATCTTATGAAATTTTTTCATGAAATTCTTTAATCTTGTGAAATTGTTTCATATAATACTTTTTTTGATGAATTTGTTTCATATATGGTTATGAAATTGTTTCATATAATACTTTTTTTGATGAATTTGTTTCATATATGGTTATAAAATTGTTCCATATAATATTTAATGAAATTTTAAAATGAAATTGTTTCATGTATTTCTCTAAAATTAAAATAATGAAGATGATAATATCCATGATTAACACACTTCACAATAAAAATGGTTAATCAATCTCTTATAATTACAAAAAAATGAACAAAATGAAAAATTATGATCGGTTGAATTAGGTTTTCACGGTTTTTACAAATTGAGTGGTTTTTATTTGAACACTCCCCTATATATATATATATATATATATATAGGATTGGGTTCACGTGAGACCAAGAGTTTTTCGTAAGACCCGTAAGATCAATTTATGTTCATTTGATCAACTTTATAAGCTAATGGTCTAAAGTTGCACGATGGCAATTTTGTGATTATTGAGAAGTCTTGTGGCAATTTTGTGATTATGAATGTTCAGATTGTAGATCTAATCCAAGGGTTGAGAATTGGTCTTACGGGTCTCATGAAAAACCCTTGGTCTCACATGATCTTATGTGTGTGTGTATATATATATACATACTAGGTTCAACCTCGTGTATTACACGGGGTATTTTAAATGAGAAAAACTCTGGACATTAATTCTGAAAAAAAACTCTGAAACACAAGAATTCAGAGTTATGATGTAAGTCTGAGAAATAACCAATATCTGATGACTTCATGTTGGTGATTTGTATCACTAATGTCATTTAAGTGTAATAGGATTAATTTATTGGCCAATGTAATCATCATTAATATCGAACAAGTAAGGAAGGTGTGGGGTGCATACTTGTTTGAATTTATTTTGATTCGCCCGTAAACGACGGGAGTCCGGGTAATATTGCTTTGTGAAAAATGCTTCAAAAATCTGAATTTGAAATTTTAAATCCGGTTTTGATGACCACTCCAGAGTTAAATTCAGACTTACAACTCTGAATTTTTTCAGAGTTATGTTGTAAGTCTGGAGGCCACTTCAGAGTTAAATTCAGACTTATAACTTTGATTTTCCCATACTTTCATACTGGTATGTCTTATAAGTCAAGAAGACAACTCTGAATTTTAACTGAGAAAAAGGAGTTCAGACTTGTCATTAGACTTTTATACTGGTATGTCTTACAAGTCTGGAAGACAACTTTGAATTTTAACTGAGGAAAAGGAGTTCAGACTTTTATACTGGTATGTTTTATAAGTCTGACAGACAACTCTGAATTTTAACTGAGGAAAAGGAGTTCAGACTTACAAGTCTGAGGAATGGAAATCCAGACTTTTGCTTATTTAAGTATTTGAAAAAAAATCCCTTTTCATGCGGAAATCAGTTATGTTTACAGGGACAAATGTCAATTAAATAGGCTCATTTGAACCAGTAACGTAAATTGTGTTTACATACATGTTCAGCGTTCAGACTACTAAGTCTGGACAAGAAGCCTCCAGATTTAGTAACTATAGAAAATATGTTAGAGATTTCTAATTAATCTTGGAAATCAGTTAAACTACGAAAACAAGAAAATAAACGTGTAGATGGACATATGTCACTTAAGTAGACCTATTTGAACCGTAAGTGAAAATTGTGTCTAGATACATATTTAAACGAAAAAAATCAATAACCATAGTACAGAAACATGACACGTATTTTCAAAATTACTTATTTATTAGGTATATATAGATGTTAATACTATATACACATTTGCATTTAATAACAAATATTGAGTTTGTATTATATTTGTTATGAGTAGTATAAGAATAAAAGCAACATATTCCCAATCATACCCTCCACTCTATTGGAAACACCCATAATTACACCCAACTACCCATCCTTTTCATAATACGCAATTCTAACCTCTCAACACTCTTTTATTCCTTCACTTCTCACTTCAAACCCAACATTCTCCACCTCCGCACCACCACCACCACCACCGCCACCATGCACCACTCCTCCTCCACCTCCACCTCCGTCCACGGCTTCTACACCTTCCTCACCCAAGGCCTCGACGATCTCTACGCTGCTATCCACTCCCATAACTTCATCACCATCCAATTCCTTCAAACCGTTCTCTCATCCCTTCAATCTTTCCATTCTCAATTGACACTTGTCGTCCAGAAACTCCACTTGCCGGTCGGCGAAAAATGGCTCGATGAATATATGGACGAAACCGCCCGCCTCTGGGAAGTTTGCCACGTCCTCAAGACCGGAGTTTCCAATATGGAGAACTACTACACCGCCGGTGAAAATATCTCGACGGTCGCCCAAAACCACCACCAACTGTCACGACAGGTAAGAGAGTCTGTCGTAATCGACTTTCGGAAGCTTATTGGTTGTGGGTTCAAACTCTGATGGAAAGCTGATTAACATGGGGTGTATGTGTGTGTGTGTGTGTGTGTTTCAGGTTCTTAGAGCCATCAATGGCTGCCAAAGGGAGAGAGTAGGATTGGAGGAAGAAAACAGAAGCTTGATAGAAACAAGAATTCAACCATTGCTAATGAAGTTCGACAAGAATGTATCGATCGAATCCAAGTTCAATGGATTCAATGGGTTTCGAGGAGTTCTTTATGCATTGAAGAACACAAATTCATTGCTTTTGACGATCCTCTTGAGTGGCTTAGTTTACTGTTCTTCCGAAACAAGCTTCTCTTCTTCGAACACAGACTGTTACGATGAAGGTGACCAGCAGGTGGGTTTCGGGTCGGGTTTCATGGCGTCGGCTGCTCGATTACACGAGAGAATGAAGGTGAGCGAAAACGGGCAAACGGGTATCTTGCTTTACGAGTTTCAGATGGCGGGAAACTCCATGGATGAGCTTAAAAGAATGGTGGAAAGGCTGGATTTTGATTTACATGAAAAGGTTGAAAAGCTAAAAAACTGTTTTGGGGCGTTGAAATGTGGAGCTGAGAATGTGATTGTGCAGCTTGATGACTTCTTTGATGAGATTGTTGAAGGTAGGAAGAAGCTCTTGGACTTGTGCACTCACACATAAATAAAATAAATAAACCAGACCAGACAAAACCAGTATATTCTGTTCAAATTCAGAGTCTGAAATAAAAAAACGTACGCGCAAAAAACAGTAAAACTGTTTGTGGGTTTTCGAATTTGGATTAGTATCGTCCTTTTTTCCGTGTTCAAGTTTCACCTTGTTTGACATGGCGAGAAACGACTCGTTTCTTTTCCGTGTGTCTCGGTGACGATATCGACCGATTAGGTTTTGTACATTGTAGACGAACGAATATAAATAGAGAAAATGGTGTTGTTGTTGTTGTTGTTGTTGTTATTTTGTTTTCGAATAAAAAAAAAGAAAAAGAAAAAGAAAAGGTTAAAAATAGAAAGGGAATATGATTCGAGATTACTAAAAGTAGAAAAGAAAACAAGAAGAATATTAAGAATGACAGAAGTAGCTTCGACAGAAAGCTGAATACTTACACTTATTTCGCTAAGGAATTGAAGCACATATTCTTTATGGATCAAAACAAACCAACAGTTTTTCACTACTAATAATAACAACAATACATAGTTGTTTCGCAGTTGCTGAATGGTTTTGTGCAGGATTATTAAGTGGTCAAAATGATTCAAAGATATAATGCAAAATGAAATATAATTGTTTGATAATTGTTTACAATGAAATTATGGCTCTTAATGGTTAAGAGATGCTCATGATACAAAATCATTCAGAGAGTTTTAGAACCATTAAGAGGCATATTTTTTTTTGCTAAACAAGATTCAACTCTTAACGATTCAGACATTGCCTCTTAATGGAACTATTAAGAGGTAAACAAACAACCCCTACAATTTTTTTTTATTAACCTGGATATCCAACCCGCTATGTGAGCTGACTAATCGCAGGACGACAACCTGCTTTGCAGATAGTCCGGAGTCACCGTATTTGAACCTCCGTGACCACAATGAGATTTTTATTTCTCATTGGATTTAAACCTGTGACCTCCGGGTATGTTTGACCTTTGGAGCCAAGCTCAAACCAATGAGGTACCACCCTTGTGGTTACAAGAGTACAAATTAGCCATCATGGTTTTTTAAAATGTCTGAATTTGATCTTTCTTTTAACGGTTATTAAAAAATTTCGTTGAATGAGGGACATTTTATATTTTTTTTTGTTTTTGTTTTTGTTTTTTACCCTAGGGACCAAATTATAGAAAGACAAAAATGCCCTTTATTAAACGGGACTTTTAATTGTTGTTAGAGGGAGAGACCATATCTTAATGGCTTTTTACAAACTGTAGTGATCATCTTGTAATTTCGAAACTATAAGAACAAAAAATATTATTTTGAAAAAACCAGATGGACCTTATTTGTACTTTACTCTAATAATAATTTTGAAAAAAAAATGTACTAAAATAAATCATTTATTATAGGCTAAGGGATCGTTTACCAAATGATTAACCGGGTAAGCGCTTACCAAGTCATATTACCTTATTGAATGAATATGGCAAGGATCAATAATCTTACCCGGTAAGAGCGAAGGCAAGGACCGAGAGTCTTACTCAGTAAGTGATAGCGACGACTCTTACCACGGTTAGTATTTACCGGGTAAATTGTTGCATACGATACTATTTTGGTGGACTAAAATCTTACCCTGTAAATAAGTGATAGTGTTGAATTTTACCCGTAAACACTTATTCGGGTAAGCGTTTAGTAAACGGACCTAAATGAACTTTTTATTTATTTATAAATTCCTTTGTGAGAAGCTACATGTTAATATCTTTTTACATTTCAAAGGATATTAATTTGACTCAAAAGGGATTTATGGGTGAAGTCCTAAAGAAAAGATGTGTTGATTTTGAATGTAAAATTGAAAATGTTATAGAAAAAAAGGAAATAGAACAATATCGAATAGAGATCAGGAATATTTTTTTAATTAACTATAAGTGTTTTAAATACAGATGAGCTACAAGTAGATGAGATATATCAATTCTGATACTAGTTGTGTATTCGTGCAATGCGGCGGGAGTCGTGACTTTTAACGATTTTGAAGTTTCATTGGTTTTATTAGAAAAGATTTAACGATGATATAAGTTACACTTGGTCTTTACATATTAATACAATTTGAATAAATAAGAGTTATGGTTCCAATTACAGTCTATCGATGGAAAAAATTGTATGACAGTTTAAAATCCGATATATTTAAAATCCAACATATTTAAACAACTCCACAAATGTATTCAGTTTACACCAAGAGCAAAGAAACATGAGATCGAGAGTGAGACCGAGAGTTCTAGAGCGAGCAATTGAATGAGAGAACTTTTAATAACTCATGGTGAATATCAGTTTGAATCTCAACTTGAGGGATGAGGATAATACAATAGAGGTATGAGATGGTAAATACATGAGTGAAAAGTGTCAAAAATATATTGAAAACATAAAAAAAAGTAATAATATGTATTAGTAACTTGTACTGTATGTTATTTTAATTGTAGATTAAGAGATTTTAAGACTGAATGCATAAAGTAGTAGTACTTAATGCATTGTGAGTTGTTTTTAAGACTTTGTGCAAAAATGTATAGTACTTTGTGCGCATTAAAAATTGTTTTTAAGACTTTTGATAAATCTGTTTTATAAGGTAGTATAAATATCTAATCTTCATATCCATTTGACTATGACACATTTATCTTTCAACACTTCCCTTGTATCGAGTCGAAGGGTGATAGTGCACAAATGTCGTCTCGTTAAAACTTTACGTCAAAATAGAAACCCAGTGGGAGAAAATAAAAGTAGGACGAAGGAAAGAATACTTGCACCAGTTTCTTTGTCATACATAGACTTTTCCTTAAGTTTAATATTCTCTCAGATTCGTATATCAATCATGAGAGTCAGGAAAGCATGATGATATATAAACTTTTGGCTCATTAAACCTTACACGAAAGAATAAAACCCAATGGGGAAATAAAACCTTGGCTGAAGGAAAAATCCACAATATATTTACATATATAGTAGACTCTCCCTGATTCGTGCATTAATCAAAGGAGTTTGGAAAACATTTGCATTTTAATACTTTTTACATGTTTCTCAAATATGTTTTAGCGAATTGTATGGTAAGCAAATCTGTCATATTCTTCTYGCATCTTATATAATTTATTTGAATCTTGAGGAGAGTTTGTTGTTATTGCACTACAAAACTGAGGACTATCAACGGTGAAAAAATACGTCGTTAAAGGTATGATTCGCCGTTGATCTGTCGCCGGTAGTCCATGGGTAAAAAGGTCGTGGGTAATGCTATCAACGACAGATATTATGGATGGATCAACGACGGATCAACGATGGGTTGTATCAACGATGGGTATAAGCTTTAACGACGGATATTTGGTCAGTAAACCGTTGAAAATTGATTATTTTGAAGAAAAAAATTGTCTTCAAATAAACATAATCACATACACATGTGTACGTATAACCTATAAAAAATAAGAAAAGAAGAAAAATAGACTAATCCCTCGCAAATTAGCAACGAATGCCATGTGTCCCTAGCAAATCTCTCGCTGATCAGCGACAGATAGGCTAAAAATCAATTATGTCGCTAACCCGCCACTAATCAGTGAGGGAGCGACATAATTGATTTTTGACCTTGATCAGCGAAGGATTTGCTAAGGATATTATGCCAAAAATCAATTATGTCGCTAATCAGCGAGGGAGCGACGGGATTGATTTTTGGCCTATCTCTAACAAATMTGTTGGTCCCAACTGGATCTATAAGAGTTTAAATGCAACAATTTGTAGAATAGGGGTGAATATAAACACAACTGTTTTCATAAAAAAGATCAATACATAATTTTACAGATTGTTTGCGGAAAATATAAGACACATAACTTATCTAGACAATCAAAGAAACACACAAGATACAGAAAGTAAGAAAGAAAAGACTTTCTTAAAAGAAAAGGTAAGAAGTCTTGTGCTTGAGAAGAAKCATTTCTCTTAGGTAAAGAGTTGATCTTCAAGAAGTAGAATTCTTGGCATCAGTTTGCTTCATCTGGTTAACTGAGTTACTAAGAAGAAAAAGCTTCTCATCTATTTATACATGTTGCATTAAATGCAAGTCARACGATACAAAGCACGTGACAAGCTTCTAGAGGTGAGCTTGTCCTATGTTCAGATATACAAGCTTTTTCCGTAACAGTAGTCTTTCACAAAGTAGGTAAGCACGCTTGGAAACAGTAGAGTGACTCCATACAGGTACTATACTTTGAGAGGTATGAGTTTGTCCTTTGTGTGTAGAAGGACAAGACAAAAACTAATCTTGTTCAACAAGATTCATCTGATTGCTAACACTGGAATAACGCTGAGGTTTCTTCTGTGTTAGCTGAATCTTGAGTAGATTTCACACTTGTGTAGACATCTTTGTTATCACTAAAACCCGCAACATATCACGAACTTGCTTGTCTATATCTTCATCTTTATCTTCGATATCATTGAAGGTTCTATGGTGTGAGTTTTGTCTTCCTGGAGAATACTTGTCTCTCTGAGAATTACAATTCTTGTTCAGCGATCACTTAATAGACTCAGTGATGATCGATGAAGCTGAATAAAGAGATAGTATACTTCGTAAGATAAAAAGGATCAYATCAAATCACTGAGAGAGATGATCAACAATCTCCCCCTATTTGATAAGACAAAGCAACATAAAGAAAATTGCTTCGGTATTACAGTAAGGAAAATGTACTAGTAAAATACTTGTGCCTTTTAACTGTTTTTTGATATTTTTCAATGATCAAATTTATTATGGAAATTTACTTTAATTATAAAGGATTACAAGGAAAGAATAAACTTAMATAATATGAATAACTAAATACTGAGAGTATATTCACTTACTAGAAAAGTGTCAGAGAATGTAAGAAATAAATAGAACTCATAAGTACATGTCTCATTTACTCTTTTCAGGGATCTTTTCCGATGAACCAATCATTTTATTGAAATATCTTACAAGAAAAAAAATATTACAACTGATTACAATTGGCTTAGGTTGGCTTAAAACATAAAAGCTATACATTGAAAGAAAAGATAAAATACATACAAGGTTTTACAAGTCTGAAAGGTTTTCTAATCTAGATTGTCGAAGTTGATGTATTTAGGGACATCTTATCCTTGAATTTTTCTTCCGGGCATTTCCTTTCAAATCTTGTGGTCCATCATCTCTCCATAAAGATCTTCGTTCAGCCAAGTACGAAGATATTCTAAGTGAATTATTGGGCAGAGAT